TAATTATTTAAAATATAATTGACAAAATTTCGGGTAATCGTCACAAACAGTTACCCCATGTTGAGCCTATGGCAATTTGGAAAAATTATTTTCAAATCGATTTTGCCAAAAATTTCCACGTTAGATTTTGAAAATTTTCCAATATGTTGTGCCCCGGGGTGTCGGCTACCAAGTGGTATGGGTCAGATATGGGGCGATTGAAAAGCACGTGCCACGTGCAAACGTGTTTGATGGGGTAACCTCCGGGAAAATCCGACATTGGCCAGCTTGGGGCCCTATGGCTCCGAAACCACTCCACCTAGCGACACCAAATCAACGCAGCCGGTGAGCAGATGAGTCCAGCTTGTCGCACTAGTGGTCACGTGGCGCACGTGCTATTGCACGTGCCGTGGCACGGGGTCAATTTTTGTTGTTAAATACACCAACATTGTTAAATGCAAGGAATGGGGAAAATAGCCATCAGGCCGTCAGTTTTTATGATAGGGTCGATCTGAAAACGGGTATAGGCACAGAGTGAAGGGGGCTAAAAAACTGCTATCTCGGATTTTTTGTAAAATGAAAAATTCAAAATTCTGGGGAAGTTATATATTCGAAAGGTGAAATTTCCCTCAATTTTCCCGTTTTTCGAGTTTAGCCGTCCACTGTTCAGGGACGGTGACACCGGCCGGGGTCATCTTTTACATGCCGATGGCCAACAATATTGGTCATGACGTGGCGTGAGCCGTTAAGCTGTCAAAGGTCCGGCACGTGCCACGTGGCCACGTGTTTGAGCCGAGTACCTCCCACATAATGGTGTTTTGGCCAACTGGTGGCCGTATAGCGTGGAAACAGAACCAGCCAAGAACACTAAATTGGGTCAGTCGGTGAGGGGACAAGTCCTGTTTACACCACCGGTGGTCACGTGGCACACGTGCAAATCTGGGCACCTCCGTTGCGGAGATATTTTATAGTGAAATATTCAAATAAACATAACTTTGTCAGTTTATGTCCGATTGGGCTAGAATTTGATGGGTGGACGAATTGTTAAGCGACAGGAACGAATGCGCCAAGTTTGTTGCAGTGCGCCACGTTTGTCTCAAAGCGCCATTTTTGCCGCAAAGCGCAGAATGTGCGTAACTTTGTCGAACATGGGACGATTAGGATGCGCTGATGGAGGGTTGGTTGCTTAAACAGCAGATATGAATGCACCACACTTGCCGCAAGGCGCCATATTTGTCTTAATGCATCAGTGTTTGCGTTTTGCGGACGGCGTGCGTTTTTTTTTTGCTGCGATGTTTGCGTTTTTTGTGTTTGCGTTTGGCGGCGGGCGGCCGTTTTTGCGTTTTTTTGTGGTGTTTGCGTTTCGCGGCGGGCGGCCGTTTTTTGCGGCGGTTGGCGGCGGGCGGGCGTGCGGTGCGGGCGTTTTTCGGCGGTATTTGCGTTTTTTGCGGTTTTTGTGTTTGGCGGCGGGCGGGCGGGCGATGCGGGTGTTTTGCGGTGTTTGCGTTTGGCGGCGGGCGGCCGTTTTAGCGGCGGTTTGCGGTGGGCGGCCGTTTTTTGCAGCCAGCGTTTTGCGGTTTGCGGCGAGCGGTCGTTTTTTGCGGCGTTTTGCGGTTTGCGGCGGGCGGCCGTTTTTTGCAGCGTTTTTTGTGGTTTGCGGCGGGCGGCCGTTTTTTACGGCGCTTTGCGGTTGCCGGTGGCCGGGCGTCATTTGCGTTGTTGCGGTTTGCGGCGGGCGGCCGTTTTTTGCGGCGTTTCGCCGTTGGCGGCGGGCGATGCGGGCGTTTTTTGTGGCGGCGGTGTTTGCGTTTTTTGCGGTGTTTGCGTTTTGCGGTGGACGGGCGTTTTTGCGGCGTTTTTTGCGTTTTTTCTGCGTTTTTCGGCGGGCGGGCGATTGTTTTTTTGCGAAGTTTGCGTTTTGGGCGTGCGTTTTGTGGTGTTTGCGTTTGGTGGCGGGCGGGCGGTTTTTCACAATTAAAGTCCCAACCTTCGGATCCGCAGAGCTGTTCGACAAGCGCTGCCCGGGCCTAATGGCGGGACGCGGAGTCCCGCGGGACCTGCGCCGCGGCTGGCGATTGAGGGCCGCTCCGACTAACTCGCGTCGGCGCCACAATGCAGCAGCCCGAGGCCTGTGGTCGGCCGGCGAGCCACCGAGTTTGCAGCGGGCGGCTCACAAAGAGCGCAGAGCGCCGGCCGGCAGCGGGCGGCCCGTCCGCCGGAATCAGGTTTGACAGCGCGCGTGGGGCGGCCTCCCGGGAGCGCAGAGTTAGGTTGGCGCAGTGGGCAGGCTCTGCTGCAGCACACTGTGCGCATCATTTGCCAGTGTGGGGCGTGAACTGAAATACAGCCTGGGGGCTGATTCAAAGGAACAGGGGGAGAGAGCGAGAGCGAGAGAGGGAGAGAGAGAGGGGAGAGAGAGAGAGAGAGAGAGAGAGAGAGAGAGAGAGAGAGAGAGAGAGAGAGAGAGAGAGAGAGACAGAGGAGAGAAGACAAATAAATGAAATAGAAAATGGAGCACGATAACGTTAGCTGAAGGAAGAGAGAGGACAACAGATCGGCAAAATGTCGGCGATAACTGGTTTAGGTGACACCTTGGGGCCAGTAGGATGGCCTCAGGACAATGACTGTCTCACGGACTCAGCTCGAGAGACTAGGGAACAGCCGGATCAAGCTGCAATACCGCTGTGAAAAATTGCACCCAGCAAAGATAGAGACACAGAACTAGTATGACATCGACCGAGGAGAATGGCGGAGAACAGCGTCAATATTTTCATTACGTTCAAACGCGGCGACAAAAGGTAAATAACGTAAATAAGACTGTCTCAAGGTAAAAATACACGTACCCAGCGAGCCGGAGATCAAGCGCTGTTTGCCCTCGCTCTGCACACACTCGGGTGGGGCGCTCCTTTCAGCGACTGCCGGAGACGCCGGGTGGAGCTCATTAGCGGGGCACATCGAAGAACCCAGAGCTGTCCGCTCCGTAACCAGTCCGGCGTCCGTCGGTCCGCCGCGCGGGCCGGCAGGACATCCCCGCCCCGCCCCGCGCACTACCGCAGAGCATAGCGTGCGACCGGGCGGCGCCGGCGGCGGCTCCGTGTAAAAGGTGCATCCGCAGTCGGGAAGTTGGCGCGCCCAGGATAGACCGCTGCCGGCGGCCCCGGACCCGACCCGGCTCTCGGCCGCAGCCGGCCGCTCCCACCGGCCGCCCGGCGGGGCCGCGGGGGAGGGGGCGGCGGTACGCACCGCTCGATGGCGCGCCGTGCCACTTGGCGCCACGCACCTCCGCGCCGGCGCCCTATTTGTGGCGCGCCGCTAAAAATAGACGCCGCCGGCGCTATTGTGGGACGGGGGCGCGGAAGTGGCCGCCGCCGGCGACCGTGGGCCGTATGGGGAGCCGCACCACCGACCACAGCACGTAGCGCGCGGCACTCCCTCCCCATACGGGAGTTCCAGGAGTGCCGGCGGTGCAGCGGCGAGAGGACAGAGTGGCAGCACTCGGCCGCCGCTGCTGCTACTGCAGACTCACACCGGGGCTGGGGATGGGGTGGGGGCTGCGGTGACCGACGGCCCTGGAGCGTGCCGGGAGTCAGAAAACGTTTCCCGATACTGACCTACCGGGATAAGAAACAATTTATGATATTCGACCGGAACCAGAATGGTCAGATGATCTGTACAGATCACCAATTAAAGAGAGACCATAACAACATACTTCCAGCGCCATTTGCCCGTCGTACACCGAAATGCTTTGAATCATTAACAAAGAAAATGTAATCCAATCGGGATTCGACCAAAGATCGTATCATGCCTTTTGAAACATACGAAGCGACACCAATTCAGCTCACAACTATTTTAGTTTGGAAGCAGGTCGATTATGTCGAAAAAGGTGTCGCCACAAGTGAAAAATTGGGGCCCTGATCTGTGCCCCGCTCGGTGCTCCGTGTCTGGGCCCCGCGTATGGGCCCTGCTCGGACGGCGTTACCCGCGGCCGGCGCGGCCTTTGAGGTCACCCGCCCGCTGAACAGGCGCTGATGAGAGCCACTCGGTCGGAAACCCCGGCCGTCCTACGGGGGAACGCGGGGCCGACGGGCCGTCCCTCCGCCGGCCGCCGTGAAATACCGCGGACCGAGCCGGTCGCCGGGCGCCGTACCTGGAGTTTCACAGATCGCGCTCCAATCTCCACACAGGGATGGACATAATCATCTGCTGGAGCCACCGAGGAGCCACTTCGTATGGACATCGTGCGACATGACTCAGAGCCCCTTTATGCCTTCAGTCCGTGCTCCAGCGAACGCACAGATAGATACCGCGGGCCATCCCCTGGCTGCGTATGGAGTGGATGAGCGCGCAGTATGTCAGTGTGTGACGCTGATGACCGCGGCCCGGTCACTCAGTGATGACCGCAGTCGGTCACAGCTCCACTACATCACTGCGCCTCGCTGACTCGCGACTCCGCTTCACATTTGGTGCCCAGTTCGGGAGCGACAAACGGCGCGGCGCTCCATTCGGAGACAATGCCCGCAGCGCGCCCGACCGGCCGCGCGGCTGCCCCTTCCGACTCAATGGGGCGCGCACAGTCCGGAGCAGCTCCCTCCCCTAGAGTGGGGCCGTCGACCCCGCGGGGCGGGCGGGGAGGACAGTGGAGAGGCGGGCGTTGGGACGACCAAATATTCGGTCTAGTGGCTACGTTTTATACCGTGGAGGCTTCACGTCCCAGAATAACACTCGGAGGAACAAGAGCTAATCTTATGTCTGAAAGACGGAAATACTACTGAAACAGAATTGCCTTCATCCGATTATGAGGCGAACTTAAGTAAAGATAACCATGTAGCTACATCAATGTAGTCCTTATCAAACACATCCATCCATTCTTCAGATCAAACAGCGCATAATGTGACGTAACGATGTCAGGACCTCTCCGTCATGAAACAACATTTTCAACACACCATTCTGATCAGGGAACTGAAGTCACTCCATCGTGTAAGGGATTCTTCACCTTCACCGCATTCCCCCTCCTCACTCACCTCCAGCATGTCGGAGAACAGGAACATGATGAGGTGGTCGCCGCGGCCGCTCAGACCGTCACCCTTGATCTCCACCACATCACAGCGTGTGACGAACGACCGGTGGGACGACACAATGTGGGCCTGTGACGTCACACAACACACAAGGTCACAGCGCGTCCGTGGCAGAAGTTCCAAAACATCTAAATCCTACCATTTATACACTAAGCTGTAAACTTTTCAAGCCATAAGCGGTAACGGCAATGTCAATGTCATAAGTGCCCAATGATCACGGTCGCCCGCCCGGGGCCACCCACTGGCCGCGGCCACACCGGCCCGCGGCACCTCAAACCCCATCCGGCGCCTTTATTGTTTGTCAAACCGCACCGCGGACCGGTCTATAAATACTGAGAGGCCGCGGGCAGGTGTACTTTGCGGCGGCGCCGGCCCGCAGAGCAAACATCACCTGTGACGTCATACGCGTCAGTCCGTGACGTCACCCCTCTCTGTGCCGGGGCAAAGACACGCGACTTTTCAGTATCCGCCGGCCACAGTGGTCAGTCGGAGGTCCGATATAGCTGAGATGGTCTGATATTGCCTTTGTTACACGGGTTCAAGAGTCAGCCCATCGTAATGATACACCTGTTCTGCAGCTGGCAGTGAATATACCTACAGCAGCTGTTTATAGTCATTATCGATTAGCGAGTGAAGGCCCGGTCACCCAGTCGCTGCATATATATTAGGATCGCTGCATATATTAGGATATATCGTGTCTGAATTCCGCCCTAGTCGCCGCCGTGTATGTACCGTGTCATGTGTAGTCGACTACAGAATGATGTTCCACTTTTCACAGGCAATTATTTGCCTGGAGCGGTAGGCTGTGCCGCATTACACGGGCTGAGTTCCCAAATTTTAGCTTTGTTCCAATGCTCACAATCGACACGCTTAATTGCGTGATAAACGGCACAAATTAGCGCTCCGGTCAACTGATAGCTTCTGAGGAGTGGAACATCATTCTGTAGTCGACTATACAGTTCCCCGGCGACAGCCACTAGTCGCCGCCGTGTACCCCGTGTCCGAGCCCCGTCCCGGTCCGTAACGTGTACTTGTGTCTGTACTCCCTCCTAGTCGCCGCCGTGTACCCCGTGTCCAGGCCCCGTGCCGGTCGGTACCGTGTACCCCGTGTCCGAGCCCCGTCCCGGTCGGTACCGTGTACCCCGTGTCCGAGCCCCGTCCCAGTCGGTACCGTGTACCCCGTGTCCGAGCCCCGTCCCGGTCGGTACCGTGTACCCCGTGTCCGAGCCCCGTCCCGGTCGGTACCGTGTACCCCGTGTCCGAGTCCCGTCCGTGTACCCCGTGTCCGACCCCCGTCTCGGTCGGTACCGTGTACCCCGTGTCCGAGCCCCGTCCCGGTCGGTACCGTGTACCCCGTGTCCGAGCCCCGTCCCAGTGTACCCCGTGTCCGAGCCCCGTCTCGGTCGGCGCGGCGCTGGCAATAAACTGTCACCGGCAGCGCGATCAACAGTTGCCTTTAATAACTGGCACCATAAAGAATGGCGCTGCCGGCCGCTCGGAGACGGTCGGATTATTGGCTCAGCGCGACCGGCGCCGCCCGACCGGCGGCGAAAACAATCACTGAGCCCCACCGGCGGCGGGCGGCAGCGGAGCGGGTACAGCCTCAAATCCCAGCCCCTGCCGACGGCCGTGGAACGGGCAGTTTCCAATTCCAGCCCCCGCCGACTGTCTCTCAGTCTCACCGGGCAGTTTTCGATGTCGTTGAAGATGTTGAAGAGCGCCATCTGACCCTCGGTGCGCCGCTTGTCCTCGTTGATGTGGGTCATCACCTCCTTGATCTTGGCCAGGGCCTCCTCCAGCTTCTGGTGGTCCGGGTGGCTTTTGGGCGTGTGCTTCAGAATGTCTGCCGCGAGAGAGAGAGAGAGAGGGCGAGCGAGGTGTCAGATACTGTCAGCGAGGAGAGAACGACAGGGATGTTAGGACTGCAGCGTGGATAGAGAAGTAGTGTCAGCCATTTTACAGTAGTGTGGACAGATAAGGGCTTATGGGCACGCAAATTGGCTGTGGTCGCAGGAGCACTCACTATGCTAGGAAACGATGAGGTTGTGAAAATGTTGACTGATGAAGCTTTAATAAGTTTTTGTTTCTGTTAAAAATGCATGATTAACGAAACTAAAATACACGACTTTCTCCGGCCAGCCAAAAAAGCACTGAAACAGAACCACCAATTTTCATTCCATCCTCATGACGTCAGTCCCCTCCCAGCCGGCCCGCTACTTTCCCTTCCCTCCGTCCTTCGTACCGTTGAGGAGCAGGATCATGCTGGGCAGTCGCTGGACGGGCCGGATCAGCAGCTCCTGCAGCGTCTGGCGGCCGCACTCGGGCTTGCTCTGGCTGATCTTGAGGAAGGCGTGGAAGCGCGGCCGCGCCTGGTCCAGCCGCACCAGCGTCTCCTTCGACTTCTCGAAGAAGTTGACGAACGGCGGGTAGGAGCGCATCAGGTCGTCACCCTGTGGGGGCAGGGCGGGACGGTTAGCCACAGCCCGATAAATGATAGGGGGAGAGGGAAGAAACGACGGAGGAATTATTTCAAAAATAGTTGTGGGTCTACATTAGATGTCACGGAAATGTTAAAGGGACAGTATCACCATTTTGATGAAATTTGACATTGCATAGGCCCCACCTTTCTGGTCCGGGAACTGAAGACCGATCCTCGAAGCTCCACACCGTTATCCCGCTATCGCCGCTCAAAGTACGAAAGGTGTACCACACTTTGAATCGTGCTGAATCGTGCTTCACTATCTTCACTTTTTAAATGTTTGCGCCGTTTTGAATTGACCGCCAGTAATAAAACTTTTACCCTGGTCATTTCATCAAATTTTATAAAGCCAAAACGTTTTTCGCACTTATTCATCACCGTTAAATTCATTAAATAGTCGTAGGCAATTTCCGCTGTTTCCTTCGGATTCTAGCGGCTCAACAAAGGAATTCCTCCAGCTTGAATCACAATCTCCCTCCAATGTATGACGTTTATCACGTGATTGTCACGTGATATTTTCTCCCATTGTCAATTGTCACGTCCAATTGTCACTCCCTCCAATTGTCACGTGATATTTTTATAGGCAATATGTAGGCGTTCAACTAGTGTTAAGAGTAAGAACTGCAACTTTCGGTGTTCGATCGTAGAGGGCGGGCCTATCTGCCTGCCGGCGGAGGTCGCTGACCGGTCGCAGGGCAGTGTGTGATCGGAGCCGAGCGCAGAGAGTGCGGCACCTGTACTGAAGTGTTATCTTGATCGGGAAGCAAATACAAGTGAGTGCGACACGCTACAAATACCTAAGGCTACCTCTCCGTAAGGACAACTCAATCAGAAGAACGACCGCGTAAGCGTAGCGTCAATAATGTATTATCTGCGCCAGTTCTGTAGTAATTTTGCATGCTTCCAAACTGGCGGCCATGCTTGTATAGTGGTGGTTCGCTCATGAAAATGAATCATGAAAATGAAATGTGGTTGCAATATTTTTCACCGAGTTCGGTCCTCAAACTATGTTTTTCTGATTCAGAAAAACAAGAAATGCTAGTAAAAAAAAAATCAGCTCCATACATTGATTTTTTTTTCGATGATACTGTCCCTTTAATTGAGTTGAACAATTGATAAAAATGTTAAGGTGGAATAGTTCCACAACGCGGACTCATTCACCGCTGTTGCGAGACAACGCGCTCGCTAGCAGCAGTGTAGGGTTAGTGGTAGGTTGGTAAGTCAAAGGACAGACGGCCCACGCCGGCAATAGGGCAGGCTGACGGCAGCGAGGACAAATAGACTTCCAGGGCGCCTCGAAGGTCAGATCACTACCAATGAAATTCAACCATCCAGTCCGGGCGTTAAATAAATAAAACAATACAACAGCGCCATCAGTCAATCGCTGTCGGTAGAAATGTCACAACCGTGACGGCCGAAGACGGACAGCCCCACAATGAAACACAGCGGCTGCCCGACCGCAGGAATTTACGTCACTAACGGACAGACAACCGGCCGCGGCCCTAAACGGACAACGGATGGCCCGTCCAAGGACGCGCCTCGGCACTGGAGTTTCCGCGGCTGTGGCGGCCGCTCCGGAATTCACTAACATCCGTCGAGCGCGGCCGCGTCGGTAACTGACCCGGAACAGGGCGCCGATAATTGGCAAAGTCGACACGGGCGCGCGGGCGGCTGGTCACGGAGGGGACTGTGGACACTGCGTGATGGCCGCCGTGTCATGTGGGCGGATAATGGAGAGACGACCGCCGGCCGGCCGGACGGCAGACGGCAGCCGGCCGCTGTAACGATAACATACGACTGCGGCGGGATATGGAACTGGGACCGACCCACAGGATGGAGTGATGGGAGCGGCCGAAAGGGCATACATAGATTCGGTGGAACACATAATTGACAATGGCAAGACAAAGGCAAGGTAAGGACATTCATTTGTTATCAAACGGATCGTTGTATCCCGGCTACTGCAATACACTGACTCGAAACCCGCTACACCAATTACAAGTTAACCTTTCCACGTTACCTATCTACATGACCCACGAGTCTCTGCTGTTCCCGCTCGCCCTCGGCACCGGAGCCGAGCTGAGGTACACGAGACGGAGGCCGCCGCTCGGGCCGTACTCACGTATTTGATGACGGCCTCGCCGACCGAGAGCTCGTCGCGCCAGCGGCCGGCCATGGCCGCCAGGTCGTCGCGCAGCTGGCAGTGCACCTCGTAGATGGGCGGGATGTTGCCGAAAATGATCTTAATGTCGGGCGGCTCCAGCAGAGGCCCGCCCACCTGATCAGCGCCCTCCAGTGGCTCCTTGAACAGCTTTAAAGAGGGGAGAACCGGTTATACGTCACACGCAACGAGGCGGACAGCGCAGAACGGCACATGGTGCGGGTCTGCGGAAGGGGATGGACTTTTCACTCTCTCAACACTATAGGCAATATAACCGTTGAATCGTTGCGACGAGCGTTAAGTCCTTCCTTGGGATGAGTTCATTTAGGTTGAGCTGGTGGCCTGACACTAAATGAGACATGAATGTAAAATGTGTATAAGAAATGTGCCGCCCCTGAGACGCCCGCCGCGGCACGATTCATGTAGTTATACGCCAGGCGGAGGAGGAGCCACCCCCGAACAGATAGAACAGAGAGAACAGAGAGAACAGAGCAGACTCGACGGCAGAAGGGCAGAGCGCGGGCCAGAAGCCAGAGCGGACAGAGGTGGCGGAGCACAGACCCGTCTGCAGAGGGGACAGAGCAGACTTGTCGGCCGGTGTAGGACCCACCCGCCGGATGTCGGGTCTGCTCGATGGGCTAATTTACACGCCGGAAACTACACCAGCGCTGGCTGCTAATTCTGGCCGAACAGAGAAAGTTCCCGGACGGTGGAGATTTCGCCTCTGCAGCGAACTCGCTTCAAAGATCACCGGAACTTTTCAAAGGCAATTAATATAAATGAAGGTCATGCATAGCTCCTACAGATTAAAAGGCACATCTGTTCCCAGACACAGCTGTTCAACGGCAAACTGCAAGCCCTGGGATGCCATTTTATCACTGTGCGCAGCCGGGCCCGGCCACCGTCTCCGTAAGCGCATTACCGGCCGCACCTCAACAAACAACACATCCGCGCGGCTCCGGAGGTGCCGCTGAGCCCGCCTTCAATCTTTGTTCGGCAGTCTCCGGTCGGCAGCGGACAGGACAGGACACCCCCGCGGCGGCATCAGCGTCCGGTCAGCCCGCTATCGATTGGCGCAGCTGTACGTCCGTGAGCCGCAGCAGCAGCTAACAGAACAGACTGTCATTGGTTCATCAGCAGCCAGCAGAACAGTCTGTCATTGGCCCAGCAGGCAGCCGGTAGAGCAGACGGCCATTGGCCCATCAGAAGTCAGTTAGACAGCCTGCTCTAACGGGTAGCTCAAAGTTGAGAGGCGGGCGGGCTGCAACCTAGGGCATGTGTATTGTGTATGGAGCCATGCATATAGGAGCTATATATGGCTGAAAAGTTGGAGAGCTAATTGACTGATGCAGCGACCTGCTATGATTCAGGTACGCAGTAAGTAGCCGCTCCCGCTGGTACAGTGACCCCCGTATATAATGCGTAAAAGATGGTGGTGTCTGTTTATGTGAATATGTTGTTATATTTTAAGTCGTAAGACAAATAATGACTACTGCTGCTTTGGACCAAGCTTCTTTCATTCAGTGAATCGGTCCAATTCCATTCCGCTGCAAATACGCCATCCACATACACAAACAATGAATGCCTCCCATAAACTAACCCCTAATCTCAATCTCAGCTATAGTACAGCCTACGCCGCCACATCCTTCTGGCCTTCTCCCTGCACAGCGCGCAGCCTCCAGGCAGCGGTGACCGGCCGCCCGCCGCGGCTGCCTGGAGCCCGGCGCCGGCTCGTCCGTCTCCCGGCCTCCGTCCGCGGCCGGCACACCGACAAAGCCGGCACGTGTTCCTTCGTCGGCCGCTCCCAGGCGCCGCCGTCCGAACAGAGCGCCGCGTCCAGACGAGTCAAAGACGCAACGGGACGGCGGCCGAACGACCGGCGCGGCGCCACGGCCGGCTACGACAGGGCGGAATCAGCCGCGCGAGTTACTGTCCGTCCGTCCGTCCGTCCGAGCGTGTGCCGCCGCGGCGAGCCGGTGCGTCTCGGTAAATCTGTGACCGTCCGGCGGTCTGGCGACTGAATGTAAGCCACTCGCGTGGTATGCGGGCGGCGGACGGGGCGGACGACGCGCCGCTCACGCCCTGGCGCACAGCGTCAACAAGACGACCCGGCCGGCCGCCGTAATTTGCAGAGGCAGACGTCTCCAGCCGTTATCTGCATCGTACAGCGTGCGCCGAATGCGGCCACACTCGTATAAAGGCCCGGACGATGTAAAACCGCACATCAACTCGAAATGGCCGAGCTTCATGTCGGACACACAGCAGGACAAAGAGAGACGCTCTCAATTCCTGAGGAAAGGCTGAAAATAAATTGAATCGGCACATTGCGTGTTTATAGCAGCCTGCTGTTTTCAACATTAGACATCGTGAGTTCCGAGCTGCAATCAGCAAAATGCAGCTACATATAAAATGCTGAACCTCTCCACCCGGAAAATATGAATAAATAACGCACCCAAGATCTTCATCAGTGACGAATAACGTCAGACTGAATTTTTCATTTCACTGTCAAAAGTAAGCCTGTATCTTGTGCAATGTCGCTGCCCTTCCCTCACTACATAACCCTATATCGGCAAAGTGAGGCGGAGGCGACGTTCCCGGAGAGGCGGCCCACTGCTCAGCGGCGCGACGGGCGGAAACTTTGGGGCCGGCGCCGCTCCGTGGGGAGCCCATAGAGGCTCTAACTTCATTTGGAGGTGGCCGGACGGCCGGTGTGCCAGTGACCGGACCAGACGGGTACAGACGGACAGGGGGGGGGGGCACCACCAGTGACCGGACCGGATAGGTAGGGGAGAGTGGGGCAGAGCGGCCACCCTAACGCTTCTCACGATGCCAACGCTTGATTTTTAAACTTGGAAAGATTCTTTCTATACCAATGTGATCCCTATTAAGTTGCCTTTTATTTCAACTGCGTTTTACTTCCAAAGGCGTTCACATATTCGCTGCCAACCATGCAAAACATAGCCCGGAGAACGACCGCTCCGGTTGTTTTTCAATAGAAAAACACAATTCTAACGAATAGTGTTTGTCTAATGAAACAACAACCTGCGGTTATGAAAGATATTGACAAAACTTTACACCTATGCATATTGGCCACTTTGCCCCATACCCTGGGGCAAAGCGGCCACCGGCGTCTTCTCAAGTCTCGATATGAGAAACAAAATAGTTACCTCGTGTACGACTAGGGTATTTGATGGTGACAAGGTCAAGCGAGGATGGATGTTTACTTTATCATCTTCCACCTGTAGGTAAACAAAGGATTTTCATGAAAATAAACATTTAATTGCATTATTTGGTAACTCATGCAACTGAAAAGTGGCCAAGATGAATGCATGACGACACATTTGAATATAAATAATGTTTTTTATCCAGATGGAAGCAACTTATGGCCAATTGGGGGTGGCCACTTTGCCCCGGCCACTTTTCGTTCGTTCATTGGGGTTTACGGGCGCGTCGACTGCGGTGGTCATTTTGCGCCCATAACGCTGTACTGGTAAAGCGGATATGTCAACAGAGAACTGACGAACTGAAGAAGACTAGAGCTGCTTGAGATACGTTATACTAATAAAACGAGCATATCACAGGAAAACTGATGGATTGAATATAAGAAAAGATGCTGCCGGATAAAACCCAGGGTGAGTCATCACCCAGCAGGTGGCGAATGGTGGTGCCTGGGGCAATGCGGCCGAGGCAGCGTGTCCGGTTTGGTTCGAGGTGCGGGCAACTTAAGAGAATGTGAGTGACTGTGAGCGGCACGGCACAATGGCTACATGTTGGTTGATCATTTCCACGGAGGAGATAGGCATGCGTTGCATACGTATGCCCAATCCGTAGTCTGCAGAGGACCACTTCATGGTGTCTTTTGCCTTGAAAGCAAGACTGCCAGGGCTCCAGAGTAGGTTTCACCTTTCGTAGCTTCTCGGATCCATGGAGACGCCACTCTGTCTGCCAGCTAAACGCCGTAAAAGATCGAACGGCTGGGTAAAAATCGCGAGCCGGCAGAGGCAAACGACGGAGGCAGGGGGCCGCGGCCGCGCGTCTTGCGGCCGCGTCGGCAAGCTCGTTGCCTCTTATGCCCACATGGCACGGTATCCAGCAGAACTGGATGAATTTACCTACTCGTTCCACCGACGTAAGACGAGATAAAATGTCTTGTACTATCGGGTTGTCTGGATTAAAACTCCGTAAAGATAAGAGGCTGCTAAGGGAGTCTGACAAGATCAGATAGCAGGAGCTGTCACTCTGTCAGACACCTCGATAAAACACAAAGCCTTCTCAATCGCAACGAGCTCGGAAGAAAAAACAGGCAGAAGTTGGCAAAGAGAATGTGCGTGTGTCATGACCAGTCACAAAAGCGCAGCCGACACCATGTTCTGTTTTCGAGCCGTCTGTAAAAACCGAGGTAAAACCATCATATGAGGCAATGGCCCCGCACATACCGTCCGAGACAAAAATATTCCAGCTTAGCTATTAGTGGGGTAAAAAACATTAAAATTGGTAGAATACATGTACGATAACCATGCAATGCATGGACAAGAACGCTTATGAAAATTCCAAACGGTTATGGAATAGCATAGCATTTAAAAATTGTAAACATAGTTGGTAACCTGGCAAGAAATGTTTTTCCGTGTTTCACAGAACAATGGTGATGGGCCTGAAACCCCGGTCTGGCTCATTCGAACGACCGTGAAGAGAAGTATAATTGGAAACCATAAATTGGAACTGACGCCAGCTATGAAGGGCTAAAACGATGGGTGGCCGCTTTGCCCCGGGTGGCCGCTTTGCCCCACTCTCCCCTACAGACGGACAGGGGGGGGGGGGGGGGGCACCATCCGGCGCCGGACCAGACGGGTAAGTCGGACAGGGCGAGAGTCGCCACCGACCGCCCAGCACTATCGGCGGCGATCCCATGCATGAAGAAACGCGCTACTGCAACGCCTGTTTGAATTTCAAAAGCTTCAAGAATGCGTCGGTATGACGGAGAGAAATGCTAAGCGATAATTTAGTGACAACAAGAATGATAACTCACGCTTCAATCAGGATATTTTATCAAACCAGAGTAGACCGGTCCAGCTGAAAGCTGAAAGGTTCATCGTGACCACATTTAAATCCCGCACATCTGTGCAAAAATCGCCTTTAGAAGGAGCTATGAGCGCGGCCGATGGCCGGCCCCATTAATCATCAGACGCCGCTCCATTCATCACGGCCAACTCCTGCCGTCGTGAGTGGCGTCTCTCCGCGCCCTCGACTGGCGGACGGCCGGGCAAAACAAACGGCTCAGCGGCGCCGCTAAAGTTCCGACGGCCACCACGGCCCGCTTCAGACCGCGCGCTCGCCAAAACAGCGCCCGTACAAATTGCGGTTTTGATTGAGGCTTTGGACTGGCGGATGGTCGGCGCGCAAAAGGGGCGGCTCTGGGCGGCGTCAGTCGATCTGCGACGCGCTGCGGCCGGCGCAGAGGGAGGGCCGCCCGCCGCCGCGGCCCCGGGAGCACAGAGTCCCAGTCAGCCGCGCGGCGGGGGTCCGCAGTAATTATACTCCTCCGGTGACTCAGCGGGCGCAGCAGCTGTTAAACGACGCAGCATGACACAGGGAAAACAAATTGGGCTGCCTGCCCCGGGAAGCTGTTTACACGAGGATAATTCAAAGATATAGGAAAACAAAGGCCGAACTTGAGCTCAAAAGATCAGTGAGCACTTCAGCACATACTGCTCAGAAAGCTTTTGCGAAGTGGTAAGGGAAGTCATATTTTTCAACAGAAAAGCACAATTCCTCCGAAGTGTTTTTAAGCCTCGCCGGCCGAGGGGGGGGGGGGGGTACCACCCCCCCATAGGGTTTTTTCGCGATAGCTCCGAACACGCTGGAGATAGAGAGCTGAAACTTGGCATACCGTCCTGGCCTACGACAATTACTCCTACCGACCACTGTATCGCTAACAGAGGCAGTCTGCAATCTGCATGGGTAAGAGAGTCGGCCCATGTCGCACAGTACCCGAGTCCGTATCGTCCCTGTCAGCCGCTGTACATATATACTCGCAGGACTCCCACGCTCCCCGTACCGTTACCACTGAGGTAGGGTCAGTAGGTGTTCCCTGTGTTCCGCACTCCGAGCCGTCACCACAGGGCCGCAGGATAAAAAAGTGCTCCTTGGTTAATATCGTCATCACAGGCAGGGCTACTCGGTACTTCCCGTGTCAGTGCCGGGCTACCACCTGTGTCTCATCCCGTCTTGTTTGTTTTGTTGGGTTAGGCCCTTTCGGTCTGACGAGACCATTTCAGGGCCGGAAGGATGATAGGAATTAGGGGGAGACATTGGTCTGGGCAGACACCCTAGAGAGTTGCCGGGGCTGAGCCCGTCCGAAAGGACAGGCCGACCAGCCCCCCAAGCACTCTCTGCACCCGGCTACGGGGTGCGCTCCCTCGGGAGCAGCGGTGCCGCTCCAAGGGAGCAGCCCGCATGAGATAAAGGTGCCTGTCCAGTGGGGGTTGCGGCGTGGAGGAGAAGGATTTCTGTGTCCTGAGGATGGAAGCGATGGAACGGAGGCAATCCCGTCTCCGTACCGTCACCACGGGCAGGGTGGCTCCGGCGTCCCCCGTGAACCGTCTGCATACCGTCCCCCGCGTCCCGTCTCCGTACCGTCACCACGGTGTGCAGCACTTTGACGTAGTTGGTCTCGGTCTGCAGCAGCTCGTGAAACACCTGCTGCCGCGGCGACATGGAGCGCAGGTCGGCCGCCAGCGCCGGCGACGCGCCCAGCGCAGGTGAGGTGCCATCTGACGGAGGGACACGCAACCTTAGATACTGACAACCGCCGCCAGGGGAAGAGACGAGCGTGCGCTGGAGACATAAGGTCACTCGTGAGGAGCTTGTCAGCAACGAACACAATGCTTGAAATGACTACTTAATAGTTAATTGAGTTTTAAAGGCACGTCGATGGCGGTGTTATTCTAGTCTGAAAATAACAGGAAGACAAGTGATAACACGGAACATAAATTAAAACATCGGTGAGCCAGCACCGAACCGAAAATACGTCACGCTAGCCATCATCACACACGTATTAACTCCATCACCCCCCCCCCCCTCCCGCATTAGCAGGTCTCAGCAGCCTCCCCCCTCTACCGTCGACCCCGCCCCAGCCGTCCAGAGACGGTCTCCTTACCAACAGCAGAGAGCGGCGGCGGCGGCGGCGGAGGAGGCGGGGTGTTGGGGGTATAGTTCGGCGGGTCCACCGACAGGTTAGGATTCTCAAAGATCGGGGTCAGGCGGGACGGACAGGCGCCGGGACCTGGAACATAGCGCCAGAGGCCGCGACTAAGGTCAGATGGGGACATGAGGGTTCAGACGGAGTCGGGGGGGGGGGGGGTTGGGGGTTCAGATAGGGTCAGGTGGGTCAAACAGGGTCAGGTGCGGTCAGACAGGGCCGAGTAGGGTCAGACAAGGTGCAGGGGAGTGCAGTTTCGGGTGGAGGCGGATAACTGGAGTGGACACAGCAGCGCTTGTCCCAGTGCTCTTGCATCTTCCGTTGTATCGTCCTCCAATAGCGGCGCTCCCAGTTTTATCACTTCCATTATCCCTTCGCATCATTACTGATTAAAAGTCTCAACCCATCCCATCCCACCATCCCTCAGCCAGCCTCAGCCCCCCGCTGTCCTTCCAGAGCTCCCCGCCCGCCCTGCACCTGCCCGTACCGGCGAAGGTCGAGGTGTCGGTGTCTCCGCCCGGCGTGGCGTCCAAGAATGAGCCCGACGTCGACAGCAGGTTGATGTCGGTGATGGACGAGCGCCGCTTGGCCGTCGGCTGTCGGCCACCGAGAGGGAGCGGCGTGTTAGGGGAGCCACGAGCTCAGGGATCGATTCAGGTAGCAGTGCCATCAGAAAGCGTGATTGTTTTAATGCTAAATCAAGTAAGATGCTACAAAACGAGTCATGAGACTATAAGCATCGAATCAATGAACAATCAAGTCAGCAATTTAAGAAAAAATGATGAGACTGTAAAGCACGACATACGCCTTAACAAAATATGCATATCAAATAGTCCCCAGTTGCCACAATGTGTATGCCTGGGCCGCCAGGACAGGGTCCCCGGGCCGGGTCACTGCAAGTCTGCAGCGGCGGGCGGCGTCTGACCTGCGATTGGCCGCCGGTGGGTGACGTCACGGCCGGGCTGGGCGTGTCGCGCGCCAGCTGGTGCAGCGTCTCGCGGAGCCGCTTCCGTTTGCGGGTGGTGCGCGAGCTCGGGGTGATGGTGGGCATGAGGAGGGTGGCCGCCGCCGGGCTGGGCACCTCCCGGGCCTGGGAGGCGGCCGGAAACGAGTGTCAGTAACGGGCCGCAGGTGGGCGACAAAACGAACATGAGCGCTGTTTCGGCAAAATCCTATCTATTTTCAGTCGACAAATATAAATGAACTGTAAAAAAGTACCATCTTACTAACATAACAAGAACCAACTTTTGCGTCGGCTCTCACTGAGAGCGCAAATACGGCCGCCGAAATTACGACCCACGGGGTCTGAGCAAAATCCGGAGCCCCTTCATCCTGACCGGCGGCGTCTGAAAGCGGTATCTGCCCCCGGTGCTGAGCCTGTAGGCGGTACCTGTCCTTGTTACAGCCCTGTAAGCGGCACCATCCCCCTCCCCCACTGACCGGTGGGGTCTGGAAGCGGTACATGCTCTCGTCGGCAGCGGCGTCCATCTGAATGCAGGCCCAGAACCACTCGGCCTTGACCAGGTGCGCGCGCTCGGGCGGCGGCTCCGGCAGCTCCTGCACCGTGCTGTCGTCCACCACCTGAAATACACCAGCGGGGCAAAGAGGTCAGCCAGGGGCGCGGACCATACATAGAGGTCAGTCTGAGGAGCCGGTTCTGCCACACCTGAGCGAACGTCATTTCAGCGAACGACATTTGAGCGAAACATTTTCAGCGACTATCAATTTAAGCGATTGACTTTTTAAGCGATTGTGAAGTCGGCGAATTCAATCACAGCGATTATCAACTTTAGCGAGGACCAGAATCAGCGAAACCAGATTGAGCGAATATATGGTGGTCAGTGGGAGACCAATTGAGCGATGCAGTTACAGCGAATGACCGAACGCGACATAAGTAAATCATTTGTTACTTTTCGGAAATTATTGCACCTCTTTACGCATCGTTTGAATTTTGAAGACACATATGTACATCGGACGACCAACAAGGGGTGCATGGGAGGGGAAGGAGGCGGGCAAAATTTGAATTGAAAATGTGGAACGTGAGAGATACGGCGACGGAAGGAATGCCGAGGACCAATAATAAACTAGAGAGATGGCACAGGGGAATCCAGTCTGTTTCAGGGACCTCACCCAAATATCTGGAAATTCGTACGGTGCTTGGGGGAAGAACACATTTTACAGCATGGGGAACTGATCCAAATTCAAGCGGGGCAATTTCGCGAAAAAAGCACAAGCAATATTGATTTCTGAACAAACGTTTGGTCACCATTATTGACAAAGAGCAGGGTGGGGTAGGGGGGGGGGGGTGATATTGAACCGTTGGAATTTTTGACAAATGTAGCATTAAATTTGGAGCTCAATGTCTGACCTTTGAACGCACGACATCCGCCATCCAGTTCCGGATAACCATAGGAAATTCCGGAAACATTCGTACGCATACGCTCGCAAAAGAAAAAATCAAAATCACCGTTACAGGACGATGAAATGTTTCGCTGAACTGACAGTCGCTCAAATTGTAGTCGACGAAATAGATGTCGCTGAAACATAGCTTTCGCTAAAATTGATAATCGCTATATTTGATAATCGATGAACTTGATAATCGCTGAATTGCCATTCGCTGAAAATGGTTCGCTCAAATGACGTTCGCTCAAATGACACTCGCTAAAGTCGCTCGCACCGTGAGGAGCCACCTGCGACCAGCGGGGTAAAGAGGTCAGTCAGGGGCAGACCACAGAGGTCAGTCTGGGGCACCACCTGCGACAGACCAGCGGGGTAGAGAGGTCAGGCAGGGGCGCGGACCACATAGGTCAGCCGCAGGCACCACCTCGGTCAGACAAGCGGGGTGGGAAGGAAGTAAACGGGGGCCAACGCAACTCGTTGGGCATCACCACATGAACAACATACTCATGCTCCGTGCTCAGCACGGACTTTCGACAGCGTAACACTCAATACACACAGTATTGCGACCAAAATACTGTCACTCCCCCAACATCCCGACCCTTACACAAGTCAAACGCTACCGCCTCGGTCCGGGATGATACCTGGTCAGCTACTCCCTCAGCCCTACGACCCTCCCATCTAGAATAACTGACCATCTGAATAACCGAATGACATGAATCTCCCATCTAGAATTAAACTGACCAGGTGGGTGCAGGGCTCGGCGCCGGGCTCCTCGCTGGCCAGCTGACCGCCGTTGTCTACCAGCACCTCTGCCATGTGCTCCCTCTCCTCGGACGAGAAGCCCAGCAGGCGGACTCGCGCGCCGAAAAACGGCCGCACCCTGTGCGGCGCCATCTGAGGGGACGGTACAGAGCGCGTCAGTGGAGGTGGGACTCAGAAGGGGAGGGGTCGAAACCAGGGGAGCCAGCTGTTTAAATCTAATTACTGTTGGAAATCGCAGCCCAATGAAAATAGCAAGCAACACATACACAAGAAAACGATTCAATGCCACAAATTCTGCAGGAAATAATCGCTCGAACACCCATGCAAAAAAAAAAGACTGAAAAGTACGAATAAAAATGACCATTGAGCAATTATCGAAACACAACGGTAAAGCTGATGCGGTGAAGTGATCGCTTAAATATTATGGGCTGCATGCAATATCCTGGCAGATACAGACCGAGAGCTAGGGAAAGCTCGCGATAACTCCGTGGGGAGACACTCACGATATCTCTGTGCGTGGCGATCAGTCCCAGCTCCTCTCGCCGCTGCCACACAGTCTCGATCCAGGTGTCTCGCAGCACGGGCAGGCCAAACGTCACCGCGTACCTGAGGGAGGCGTCACGGCGGGTCATTGTAACACTGTCGTCCGGCGCTGCACAGGTATTTTAATCGGATTGAGTCACTCTAGACATATTTTACCGCATTCGACGCTCACCACCCTAGTCCAAAGTCTAGTCATTTCGCTCATCCGCTATTGTATCAGTGTGTACGGCTCCTGCAATACCACTCAGCTCACACGTCTGCAAAAGCTGCTGAATTTCTCAGCCCGTGTGATATCGGGGCGTCGGAAGTTTGATCATGTTAGTGACGTCCTGCGTGACCTGGGATGGCTGTCCGCGCGTAACATGTACTTATACCATGTGCTGACCCTATTGAAACGTATGCTGGTCACTGCGCAGCCCGAGTCAATCGCGAGTAGAATAGTGCATAGACGTGACGTACATCAGCGAGCCACAAGACAGATAGATATGCTACATGTGCCCAGAATCAAATCGGAGTCCGGGAGGAGACGATTCCTCTTTACCGCCGTGACAGCTTTTAATAGCCTACCACCGGCGATGTGTGACCTGAACCTGCGCGCGTTCAAGGCAGAGTTGCACCGGCACTTGTTGCGACAACAGGCGGCCGACCGTTAGCAATACTTTATGACGACACGTTTGTGAGAGAGTGACTGCGAACGAAAGTCTGTCTGTGTGCGTGCGTGCGTATGTTTTTCCCACGACACCCATCATTTTATATTGCGACCCTGGTTCAGGAATAGCCATTTTTGTGGAATGAGCCTACGATGTCAAATAAATAAATAAATAAATAATAAACACTGTGCGTCAGGGAGGCGTCACGGCGGGCCATTGTAACACTCTGCGTCAGGGAGACGCCACACACAGCGGGTAAATCCACCAAAGCACCCGTCGGAGCCCACAGCCGCCGTTGGATTTCTTCACTGCAGTGCACCTGTCACAACCCTCGAACGCGACAAATGCGGGAGAACACAGACTAGTTCAAACCTACCGTGGCTTCTATTCCGCAGCTAAATATGCGCCACGGAAACACCGCGCTGGCAAACTACCGAAACGCAACTTTGCATAAACAAACTGCAATGCTACGATGTCCCCACGACGGCTGAATGGACGCAGGAAAATAATTGTACTAGGGTTTACAGGCCGTGCAGACTCCTCGGAGTCGGTGTATGTATTTTGCGCCCTGGATGACAAGCGCATCAGTTAGACAGGCACCCAGCGTGAGACATCACAGGTAAGGATAACGGCCGCTGAATAAAACATCTATATCACAAACACCAGCCTACCCACCCACCTGCATTCATCACCGGGGCTCCTGCCGGCTGTGCCTGTACTCACTCCTACCCGCCCGTACCTGTACTCGCCCCTACCCACCCGTTCCTGTACTCGTCCCTACCCGCCCGTACCTGTACTCGCCCCTACCGATCCGTACCTGTACTTGTCTCCGGAGCAGGCGTTGGCCACGACGTGTGTGATGTTGGGTCCGACCTCGCGGCGCACCGAGCCACCCAGGTGGTGTACCAGGTCCACCAGACGTTTCTGCCGACCGGGGAACGCACACACACAGGGTCAGCCGTCAGATTTCCTGAGTCAGCCGCTGACACCGCCAGGTGCCGCGTGACATAGCGCGCAGTACACCCAGAGAGCGCGGTAACAGTTACGCTGCGGGCTCGGCTACATACCTACTCAGCGGGATTAAATGATTTACTAGAATCATGATTTAATCATCTACCATGGTACTCACTCATGCCTGCATAATGAAAATTATATTATGAAAATTATATATGAAAATATGCGGCGAAACAGCCACCTCTGTACTTTTCCCGGGGGGGGGAGGAGGAGGAGGCAACACAAGCTGACGTAATAATTACGTCATACAGTACATTATGTAGAGACGACAAGCCTCAAAGGTCAAGATCCCCAAGTACATAGAGCACTAGGCCACTGACCAGCTGCTGCCGCATCCTGAAGCCGGTGAAGCACATGGTGACGTCCTTCATGGCCGCAGAGTAGAGGGGCCGCGCCAGGTTCGGCATGGGGATGTGGCGCGCCACGATGTCGAGCAGAGCCGGCCGACCCACCACACTGCAGGAGACGGGCGGCGCGGGTCAGACAGAGACACAGGCGGGGACAGGCGGGGACAGCTAACGGAGCCGTGCGTGGGACAGACGGGGACAGCTGATGGAGCCGTGCATGGGACAGACGGGGACACTGCTGACGGAGCCGTGCATGGGACAGACGGGGACAGCTGACGGAGCCGTGCATGGGACAGACGGGGACAGCTGACGGAGCCGTGCATGGGACAGACGGGGACAGCTGACGGAGCCGTGCATGGGACAGACGGGGACAGCTGACAGAGCCGTGCATGGGACAGACGGGGACACTGCTGGCGGAGCCGTGCATGGGACAGACGGAGACAGCTGGCGGAGCCGTGCATGGGACAGACGGGGACAGCTGACGGAGCCGTGCATGGGACAGACGGAGACAGCTGGCGGAGCCGTGCATGGGACAGACGGGGACAGCTGACGGAGCCGTGCGTGGGACAGACGGGGACAGCTAACGGAGCCGTGCGTGGGACAGACGGGGACAGCTGACGGAGCCGTGCGTGGGACAGCTCACAGCGATGTAGGACGAAGAGCTGCAGAAATATGTTAAGTTACCAAATACATGGTCACAATCTTAAACGCTGTTCTGAAAAAAAGGAGTAATAAGATGACGTTACTATATCAGCAAACATCTGAAACACCTCCCTAACAATAGCGACGTTAAACTGCGGCTGCCTGGGGGCAGGCCGCCACGGTTCGTCCTTACGCCCAGCAACTATAGACAATCACGTTCACGTGTTTATCATCGGAATGACAAACGGTGTCAGCGATGCCCGGTCAACAACGCACTGAAGCACGAAGAGCAGCCACCTGCCGCCATCAGCAGTCACGCGGCGATCTGAACTACATGGGGAAAGACCGGCGTATTTGAAGACACGTTGTCTATGTACTCACACTCCCTCGGATTCCACGAGATGGGTGTAAAGGTCGCCATCGAACTCCTTGACTAGAAAGATTGTCTCGTATTCTGTATCTGCCAGACACTCCTCTATTGATTTTGTCGTTATAGGCAGCTTCAGAACCTGGAAACACAACAGAAAATTGTCAACAACAAAGATATCAGCTATGAAAGTACCGGAAAACAATTAACATATCATTTGTTCCCGTATGTCTAACTATACATATGTACGAAAAGCAAACATAGGTACTTATTACTTACAACCATAAGAATTGCCTGTATAGACCAATATTCACAGCAGCCACAGGAGGCTGGTTGCGAACTCACCTCTGCTGCGTGAATGACCCTGGGATCCTCTGAGAAGGACGGCTCAGTAACGCACAGCCGCAGGCTAGCCAGTTCATTTTCTGCCGGAGTGTATGGAGAATGTCAAAACATGGCTGCAAACTTGTATATAGGCCTGATTTCTTATTTCCATAAATTTAGTCCGAGCCTTTTCGATGGAAGAATTCACAAGCATAAAGCCCCGCTAAATAGAGCTTGTTGCATCAGTCCTGCCTTCAACCCTCCGATCGCGCAATTCCTGGTCCAAGACAGAATTTAGAGTCCGACATTTAACGTACGCACATAGCAGCGAGCAGCGCACGGCCGGTACCCTCACTGACTTCGACTGGCTACGACCTGCCGCCGACCGCAACCATACCCGTCAGGAGGCTCATAAACATCGTGCGCCGGTCGCGCTTCGAACGCGGACTGTTATAACCACGACGCGTGCTCTCACCACGCAGAGTCCAACGCTCTACAGACCGAGCTTCAGGTTCAGCTAGACATTTTAACCAAAACAGCTCGGTAATATTATAGGAAGCAGAGTGACATTTCTTTTTCATGCAAGCCAGAAGTTTAAAACCCAGTTAGATAAGGCCATTAGGAGAAAAGGAGCAAAATTACTGCCCAGATAAAATAGGGAAAAAAAGCTCATTGTTACATCTATCAAATTGAAATTGAGTAAAAACTGAAAAAGGCTTTAAAAACTCAATTTTTGCATACTAAAATTAAATATGACACACTGACAATAAGTAAATGTTACTCACTTTGTGCTCCTGCTGGTGGCTTGTCAGTTTCCATTGTCACCAGTCATGCATTTGTCTTAGTAATGAACAACTTTAAAATATATGTCTGAGTGTTGCTGCCCTGTTAATAGAGACAAAACAAAATCAATGTCAAAATGTAGCCTACTTATTAAACTACATCATGCTTCTTTGATGTACAAATAACAATTCATCTCTGACATCAGTGGACACCCCAAACCTGCATGGTTGCTTGCATTTTGTAGTTCATGTCTTGTCTACAAAACAGGGTAGGTAACAGAGTATTAGTCAACTTGTAACTTTCACATTCAAGGAAATCCAATGAATAGCTTGTGCTTCATCTTCCTTGGATGGGTAAAAAGTAATCCTATTATTGACAGGAAGCTATGTTACAGTTCAAGCTCATTACAGAATTCAGATTTAATAAGTTCTGAGTTGATTCCAGCTTCTAAGCATTGGTGCCTACATCCAGACTGCAAAGCATGACAGCACTTGACAGCCACCCCAGCAAGGGAAGAAAATCTGAACCAGCCCACCACAACTGACTGCAAATTTTCACCTATCAAAGCTGATCAAAACTTATGATATTTCTTAGTTTTTATTAGACATTTACACTTTTGATACAAAAATGTAACAAAACACTCGGGCTGACACCATTTGGCTCCCAAGTCCCAAGTCCCATACATCATTTTCTTTGACAACAGCATGCTATGTGCCAGCACAGAAGCTCAGCACAGTTCAATGTTAGGGCTTGTACTGCTCAGCAATTCACACCATCTGCACCACACCAGTGGACAGTGGCTCTGCACAGCTCATGCCCCAGCAGAACCCATCCACACCACTACAAACTAGACTTAATCAAGATTCCCATACTACAAACAAAGAAACACAACAAACAAACAAACAGGTGAGTTGAACAGGCAAGTTGAGCTTTGCAGCTGGCAGCATGGACCTACACTACACCATATGTAATTCAAAGTGGGTCCACTCAGATGACTCATTGCTGAGCTGTTTAAAATTATTGGATAGGTATGACCATATGAGAGGCAAATAGCTTCAGTTTTTATCAAATTATGAGTCTGGTGTGCTTAAGGCTACTTTTACCATGGCTTTAAATGCCAAATAAGCCAAACAGGCAGGAGTACTGGCAAAATGGTCCAACCTGATGCAGCTAGCGGTTAGTGTCTTTTAGGGACAGGCAATGTGAACTGCCCTGAGGGCTGTTCATGGACCCTGTGTGCGTTAGAAGTAGAACTGTACACAGGATCTAAGCTCCACCCACCGCGTCCCTACGTCAGCCTTCCGTCACTGCACACAGCGATCGCTGTGGCCGGTCGGCGGTCAGGGTACATCCACCGCACGAAGCCCTGATGGCATAACCACCAACCCATCCCCTACCCCATGCCTGCTGCACACACCACACTCAGCAGTTTGCGGTGCCCGTGATTCGTGAACAGCCCTCAGGGGGAAGGTGGCTCAGAGTAAGAAGGTCTATTCAAGAAGCAATCAACATTAACAAGAATACCTGAATTTTGAAGACTAACCATCTACTATATTATCCAGAAACAAAATAAATAACAAAGAATTGTTTACAGATTCAAATTCAGACACATGAGCACGACAAATACGGCGCAGTCTACTAACCCATTCCCTGACACATTGGTAAGATACTGTTTAAAATAAAAATACCACGGTCTTTCCCACCATAATATTGACCGGTTTGAGAAAAGATACAAACAGATCATGCAAACTATTTTGCATTTTAGCCCTAATTTAAACGGAAACTAACCACTCCTTCGCATGCAGGTGTTTTGAAAATTGCCGCCCGCTGATTGGTCCGAAATGTCCTTGCCCTGTAAAACGTGACCACCAAATCAAAACTTGCTCACCAACGTATTAATTTAAGCACGATTTGCTGTTGTTTACTATGAAAATAATCAACAAATAACTTATACCTTGAAGAATGAAAAATACTCTGGTGATATTTTTTAAGAAGTAATGTTACCTTTCTTTTTTGAAGACCTTTGTTGGCCATTTGTAGGCCAGATGCCAATATTGCGCTGGTAAGACATTTTATAACGCACAAAAGCATACACAAAAGAGTTCAATGCTGATTCGCGACGATTTTTTTCTGATAGCTAAATCAAAATACAATTTGAGATTTGAGTTGTAAAGTTTGTGTAAAGTGTGTGAGCGAGGCCTAAAGTTCAAGTTGTGAGGTGAGAAGTGCCAACAAATTGACGTCGGCAATGTCGATATATTGATATAGGGCCTTGCAAATGTCTTTTGCCTGCCACCCCTGCCACCCCCTCGCTCGTAATTTGAATTATGATTATCATTGCAGGCCGCTGGTTTTGCTGGCTGACTATAACAATAAGTATCAGTATTGTTTTGGCCAAATCTCTTCTGATGGTTTATAAATTGACTGTGATTTTTGTGTGCTGTGTTTTCTGAGCAGTGCCCTCTGTTTAAGGTGGCCATGAACTCCCAGAAGTTCTGTCTGAAGTGGGACAGCTTCCAGGGCACAGTGACATCGCTATTTGACCAGTTGCGTCATGACGGCGAGCTGGTGGATGTTACGCTGTGCTGTGAGGGCCAACGGGTGCGCGCCCATCGGATGATGCTGTCTGCATGCAGCCCCTACTTCCGACAGCTAATCCAGGTGCGCGGGCAGACAGCTGTGTACAGTGGCACACAGTGCCAGCGGTAGGCTGCTTTGACATCTGTGTGAGGGGGACTTTGATGTAGGGGCTCAGGCAAGCTCAGGCTTAAGTAGTGCTCTCTGCAAATGAACTGAAGTAGACATAGCTAGAACTCTGGATTTTCACCAGTTTTGTTAAATCTAGATGCATTGTATTTTGATAGGTACCTAGTTTGTTTTGGTTCTGAATTCTGTGCAATTCACTACCTATTCAGCCAGCTAGTATGACAATGACATTTCCATAGATGTCAGTGTAGGAATAATCTGTGTGATAATTGACTCATAACAATCCCTTCTGACCATGACTTTTAGACCCTTCTGGCTCAGTTGCTGCTGCCTGAGCTGTTAGTATTTTTTTATCAATCTAGTCTAAACCTTTTAAATGGAACGATTCACAAAAACAGAGCCCACACTAAGCAAAGCCTGTTGTGTTGATCCTGCCCTCTACCCTCCGATTGCGTAATTCCGGTTCTACGTATGGCAGGATTTGGAGTCCAAAGTTTAACGTGCGCACATTGGAGCAAAAGGCCTGTCCCCTCTCTGACTTTGCCTGGCTACGGCCTGCCGCCAACCGCAACCATACATGTTGCTGTTAGGAAGCCCATAAGTAGGGGCTCTGTAATCCCCACAGTAATTCCCACACTCTGCTTTCCATGCTAGCTCCAGCAGTGTGCTGGTAGAAATGATGTTGATTGACAACTGTCATGATAGTGGCCCCGCCCCTGCCCCTCTCTGTCTCCCCCGCAGGAGAACCCGTGCCAGCAGCTGGTGTTTTTCCTAAAGGACACGTCTGCAGACGACCTGCGCGCCATCATAGAGTTTATGTACAAGGGCAGTGTGAATGTGGCGCAAAGTCAGCTGGCCAGCTTCATAAAGACGGCAGAGCTGCTTCAGATCAGAGGGCTTAGCGGCGAGGAGGACAAGGTACGTGGCTAACTGGAGGGGCCAAGGGCAGAGCGCTGGTGGCAGATGGAACAAATCCAGGAAAGGCACACTCAGGAAAGGAAAGGTCTGAGGTGCCCGAGTGAGAAACTAATGGTAGATTAGGTTTGGGGAGCTTGGATGGAAGTCTTGAACATAAAATGAAAATGTTAATGATGAATGGTAGTAGAACCCAGACTGTGTCACAGTCGCCCCGCCGTGACCCGGGTGTGCCTCTCCCGCGCAGCCGTCCGCCCCGGCGGCGCCGGCGGCCCTGCCCTCGCCGGCGGCCAAGCGGCGGCGCTTGTCGGACCACGATCCGCCGCGGCCGCCGTCGGCTCCGGCGCCGTCGCCGGGCCGGCGCCCGTCGCAGTCGCCCAGCCTGACCTCGCCGTCGGAGCACTCTGCGCCTCCGTCGCCGGCTCCGCGGCCGCCGCCGCCGCCTCCCGCCGCCGCCGCCGCTCCGGTCAAGGTGGAGAAGACGGACCCCATCGAGGAGGACGGCGCGACGCTGGACGACACGCTCGGATACGTGGCAGAGTTCGAGGGAGGCGACTACCCGGCCCGGCCGCCGCTCGACGCCATCGCCTTCGGACAGATGGCCGGCACAAGTGAGTGATGTTGTCTACTGGTGACTGGTTGTAACTGTGCTGCTTCTGTACTGCTCCTGTGTTCTAAACCTTTGATGACTGTCTCACTAGCTGTTTTATTTACTGTATATCGCTATCGGCTAACGGCTACCGGTTTTTCCGTAGAAAATCGTCTACAAAGTGGAGCCGTTTTATTGATGCTCGCGCCCTATTTGCAGTGATCGCTCCGCCGGGACCCTCGCAGAGGCTATCGGAGGACGGCTCTTCACAAGGTAAGCTGCTGGCTCCCACTGACTGTGGCGTGATGTGTGCGACTGCTCAGTTAGCAGGTCGTGATAAAGTGGGCGCGGGCAACGCATCAGAATTCTTTTTACTATCCTTTGCCCGGTAAAAACGGACTACCTTAGGTTGAACTTCAGACCGCTGCCGGCATAAAGCCTGGCTCTCAGGGCACTGAGTAGTAGTAGTCGGTAGCTCGTTCGGTGGGTCTGCTCCCCGGTAAGAGATGGATGGTTGCAGTGGCGGATCCAGGGGAGGGGGGCAAAATGGGCATTTGCCCCCCCCCCAAACGGCATAGTTTTAACATTACGCCTATGGACGAGGCATGGAAAGAATCGATAAATTGTTATGGTTTGCCCCCCCCCCCAAAAAAACTGAGCTGGATCCACCACTGGATGGTTGTGCTGTCGCCGACTGTATGGTCGGTGCCGGTCCTGATTTGGTAATTGGTGTACGTCATTTCGCTGCCCCGCTGCCCCGGCGGGTGATAAATACTTTATCCTGTACCTGCTGCTGAGCTCGGGCAATGGCTATAAATGCACCTGTGAGCTATATGAATCTGCACAGTCGGGGGCGTACCGTCTCTTGATTCTGATTCATTTTCGCACATGAGTCATGACACTGCTCCTTCTCTATACTGTTTACCTTTGTTGTCCTTACTTCTCTCGTCTGTGGATATTGGACTAGTCGCTAGCGAGATTGCGCTGCATGCATCTAAGTGCACCTTATATGTTGATTTCTTACATCAGGTTTTTTTCGAAAGCAGTATCTGTGCCTTGATTTAGACAAATATCCATGGCCGACGGCGGCTTGAAGCAGCTGCCTTGTGTGCTAATAAACATCTTTCACCACTCGAGGCCCTAAAAACACCACTGATTAAAGTAAATGGCATACCTAATGCAAGGGAAGGGGAATTTGAATGGTTAAGGGCATATTGGTACCCTGGCTTTTTCTGATGATGTCTCCATTTCTTTAGCAAAGATATAGCTGTGGTTTAGTGAGCCCCCTTAAAGGTAAAAAAAACATTCATGTCATTGACTTCGAGACAGAAAAATATGTCATGCAGTGTCATTTATAGGGCGAATACTTGTTTTTCATATGTCATATGTCATGATAAACGATAGCATTTCCTTCGTAATGTTATGTTTAAAAACACTTTTTATTACCAGTAAAACGCCTTTTGGGCGAAGAACGAGCGAGCGAGATAGTGAGCCCTGCACGTGCGGAAGGGCGACAGGGTACTTCCAACAGGCTTGCGCAAAGCACCCTTCTAACCGGTCGCTAGCGATGTACCAAATTTGAACGCAATCGGCCCAGCCGTTCCTGAGATCTGGAAGCGGCATTCTGCACGTGCGCACGTGCTAACGGGGTCCAAACTGACTTTTGCACGGCACCCTACTAACTGGTCCCTAACCGTGTACCAAATTTGAGCGCAATCGGCCCAGCCGTTCTCGAGATCTGGGAGCGCCCCCTGCACGTGCGCACGTGCAGTAGCACCTTAACCGCAACACATGGGAATGCATTGTCTGGTGGGTGCCTACCTGTATGCCAAGTTTCAGCGAAATCGCCCCAGTAATTACCGAGTTATTGAAATGGGAACAAATTTGACACCTCTTATTGTTGTATTTTGCACGTGCACTGGGGGTGACCCACATGCATCGAGAGTATCCTATTTTTGGTAGAAGGGATGCTGCTACCCTACAAAAATTACCGCAAGCCAATCGCCCAAGCGGCTGCTGAGATATGAGCCTCCCAAAATCACTACTTTTGCAAAACAGCTTGAACACCCTTGACTTTTCACGTGGCACGTGCCACGACGGTCACTGAGATGTATCAAAAGTAGTCAATTACGGGGTAGAAGGGATGGGGCTACCCAACAAAAAAGACCGCAGGCCAATCGGTCCAGCGGTTGCTGAGATATAAGCCTCTCAAAAGCGTTACAGGCCGGGCCGGGCCGGGCCGGGCCGGGCCGGGCCGGGCCGGGCCGCTCATACTGAGATTTTTCCGTTATATTGAAAAGACTCACTTCGCTCGCTGCGCTCGCTCGCTCGTAATCATCACAGGACTTGTGGAAACTCGTGTCCACCCACTGAAAACCTCACCTAACAACGAGCCGTTGCGTTGTCGTGTCTTCATTTCTGTGCTGAGCTTCCGCCTGTGAGTGTTGTTTTCCTCTCTGTGGAAATTTGAACTCCAGGGCTATACAGCACGATGACATGCAGTTACGTTATGTGTAGTTAAATACAAATGCGAATATTTTGCTGTACAGTGGCAATGAAATGTCCAGTTGAAGTCAGTTGAGTGGGACATTTCGCGTCCGGCTTTGATTGACACGTTAAAGGGACTATCCCACCTTTAACATGGGGTTTGAGTTGAGATAGCCAAGTTTGCGGCGAGGTTCAGAAACCACTATCTAGCTAGGTTGCAACCCCCGCGGCCTCTTGGTGTTGAAGAAATTCGTTCCCTTCATTTGAAAATGGGCCTTGTACAAGGCCCTATCTTCAACATGGAGCGACCGTTAGTGTGACGTCACCTGGTTTAGTCATTCTGATTTAAATGGGTTTGTTCGTTGAAAAATTGCTTAAAACTTGGTCTGAACTTTGTTGTGGTGCCTACAGAGTAAAAAGAATCAGCTTTATGACAGTAATGTGGCCTGGGGAAGGAGGTAATTTTGGGCTGTGACGTCACATATTTGAAAGTTTGTGTTTGGAATATGGGAAGCCTAAGATGTTTAATGAAAAATAAATGCCAGAACCGTGTTCCTGGTCATCCAATCTATAAAGTCGGGCACAATTTAACTGGTTGTAACAACATTTTAGAAGGTGGGATAGTCCCTTTAACTTTGGCATATACGAGATACATATACCTATGGCTTATGAGATACATACGAGATATGAGATGCATATATATGCCATAAGCTTTTGCTCGTATATTAATTATCCGCCCGATGAGACGGTAGGGGTCGGGGCCTTCGCAGCAAACTCTGCTTAGCGTGGCCTCCGGCTCTGTCAATCAGCCCATATTCAATTTCAAACCTTCGAGCTAAACTTATAAAAAAAAATGCTGGTATCGCCAAGCAGTTGCAATGAAACACTGAATAGTGAACGTCAATTTTGTTGCGATGATATACTATACAACTACTCGCGCTTTGTTGGAGGAATCGTTTTTTTTCTTTGTTCTATGGGAATGCTGACGGAAACGGCGCCGATGAGCGGCATTGCAGCGAACGCTTCTCCCTGCTGCGACCAACTTGAACTGGGATTCTGTGTGTGACTACGCTGGTGGCGAATGCTACCTACTTCTGTTTTCTATCACGATCGCATGCATACCGACTTGGCCAATGGAAGCGGTTGCCTTCGGCTAGGATGTCTTCGCCTTCGCGACTATGCGCTTGCTGAGCCCCGCGCCCTTTCTTTGGGAGGACCTGGCGACACCGCACAGCGTTCTTTGTCGCACAGTTGGGGCTCTTCTGCCGCTGTGAGCGGGCCGATCGGAGGCGAACCTGTCGCCCTGCTCAGCGCCACTGTGTGGCCGCCGCCTCTTCTCGGGCCGCCGCCGGCTGCTGCCGCGCTGTCCGTGGGCCGGGACTGACACCAGACGGCTGCCCGCTGTCCGTGGGGCGGACGCCGGCACCTGCCCGCTGTCTGCTCTGTCGAGAACAGCTGCTGACGCCGCCGGCCCGCCCGCCCGTCTGCCGCAGGCGCCCCGGTCTCCCTGGAGGTGTGCCCCATGTGCGGCGCCGCCTACCACCACCGGCGAAACCTGGCCGAACACATGAAACGGCACACGGGACAGACCACCTGCTGCATCTGCAACCACGAGTTCGCCATGACGTTCTCACTGCGGCGACACATGGTCAAGCGGCATGGCCTCTCGCCCGACGAGGTCAGCAGGCTTACCAACAAGCGCGGCGCCGCGCCGGCGATGGAGGACGGCCCGGAGGGCGGAGGAATGGGGCATCCGGACGGCGGAATGGGGCGCCAGGACGGCGGAATGGGGCGCCAGGACGGCGGAATGGGGCGCCAGGACGGCGGAATGGAGTGTCAGGACGGCGGAATGGGGCGGCAAGTGGATGGGGCGGAAGGAGGAATGGTGTGAGGACGTGAACCTGTGAAATGCTCGACGGTGGTGGTGTAGGGAGGCCGCTGATGTGGCGGGTGGCGATCAGCACCAGTTGGTAAGGGGAACAGTGCCCCCGAGGCAGGTCCATCGGTAGCGCTCTAGAACACACGACTGGAAAATTGAACAGGATATGGCGGTGTGCTGGGCAGGGCCCTGTATCCAGCAGCTCGGCAGAAAGCCATCATTCCTCCTGCCCAGTGTGCTAGCCCGGGCCACGGGGCAAGTCCTGGGCTGTCGGAAAAGGTGATGGCTGGCCGGACCACCTGGGCTGTCGGAAAAGGCAATGGCTGGCCGGATGGCTTCGATTCAGCTGGTCCGAATTCACAGTTTGCTTTGGATTTGGTTCAGCCATGCTCGTCTAGGAAGGTTACTTGAGTAAGTTGAGCTTTTTTTAATGCTGATTTTTTGGCCGTAAGGTTTTCTACGTGTTTGCCTTCCAAGGGGAAAGGTTGACTGGGACTGGATCCTTCTCTGTTTTGCTTCTAATTGAAGCATCGGTTTGACAAAAAAAGCATGCCCACCGTCATGAGACACCGCTAATGAAATACAGTTATAGATCCCAGTCAACTGGTCAACCCCAGAGACCAGGCTAATTGCCTAAATGCCATGTCCGGATTTTTGGTAAATGTCTTCCCCAAAAATGTTCACAGAGCAACAATGTCGACAGCCTCCCGCTTTTTTTTTTCAATCAAAGGTCGCTTGGCCCAGACTACACGTACTATAGGTATACCGGGAATGCTCCCTCACACGGAAAACATCATCAGGGGGTTACAATACCCCTTCCGTCAATCGGAATAGTCACTTATCGAAGATATAGTATTACTTGAAGAACGTAGTGGAAACTGTCAAATCTACCGTAGGAAAGGAATAG